TTGCTTCTCCATCTTTTCCTGTCTCCTCCTGCAACTCCGGCTGACCACCTAGGAATCTCTTCCTGCATCACCTATGGCCTTTAAGATCTCTCTCACAGTTCACGCCCTCTTTTCATACTATGTATATTGGCCCCTTTATTTGTTTCTCCCCTTGCGGACCTCGTGCTGTTAGTAGCTACGATGGCTGATGTCAATGAACTCTAGGTCTGTGTTTCTATTTTTAGTTTTTGAGCCAGGATTCCATGCAGCCCAGGCTGCCTGTGGATGGATTACATGTGTGTGCTACCATGACCGAGTGGCCTCCGTTTCATTCTTCTTTTTCTCTTTGTGTGTGCACGTGGCAGACAAGTCTGTCTCCTCCGTGGTTTGGGCCGTGGGCTCAGACTCGGCTCCTCAGGCTTGGTGCCAAGCGGCTCTTCCCATTGAGCCATCCTGCCAGCCCCAGACCTGTAGTTCGAGACCAGCCCCCTCTCTTGGTTCCCCTGAGACACTTACAGTGTCTTCCTCTGGTTGGACAATGTGTGAAAGCCAAACTCTTGATTTCTGTTTTTTCTCCCAAAACCTGGTCTACTTGTTGCTTCGGTGCCAGTCAATACAAAAAATATTTTCTCATGAGATAATAATTCATTTCTTCTTTGAAACTTCAGGACAATAAGCAAGGATACCACATTTCCCTCCTTGAGCATAACTAATGTTTGTATCTAGCATGTATTTTTCAAGGATAAATTGTCATCATAATTATTCAGTTTATATCCAGATTTCATGGACTACATAGTAGAGAAAGTACAGCTAGACCAGAGTTTTTCACACACACACACACACACACACACACACACGTGTATATATAATGCGTATGTATATGTGTGTGTGTGTATATATATATATATATATATATATATATATATATATATATATAGTTTTCTGATAGTTGGCTTGAGTGCTATTTAATATTTAAGTTAATTATAATTAAAAGCCCAGTTCAGTAGCGTTAACTGCTTTCACACACGGTCACCTATGGCTGGTTGGACTATTCTGTGAGATGTGTTGGTCAGGGTTTGAGTTTCTTTTGTATATGAAGAACTGACAATCCAAGCTTAACTATCTGCAGCTGAGTTAAAGAACGAGGCTAGACTTGATTTGCAAAGCCTTCGGCGGTCTGTTGATCAGAAGAAAAGCATTTCTTCAGATGCTTATTTCTATGAATTCCTGAAGGTGGAAACTGTAGAATAGAGAACGGAACCCGGGCAAATCTGTGCTCACACCCTCTTTGTTCCCTCTCGCTTGCGGGGCCCAGCTTTGCATTTATTTACTCTATGGAAGTTACTTCATTGCCTTCTTCCTCCATGGGAAGGAGCACCCCAAAGGACAACCTGAACGTGACTGAGATGTTCTCTTTTTTTCAAGGGACTCCTCCTCCTTCATGCTGGGCTGCTCTGGAGAGTCTCAGCACATGTCTGTACAGGAATTTATTTCAGAACTTGGCAAGAGATCACATACAAAGACCTGTGTGATCTGGCTGGAATATAAACACGCCTTTAATCCAGGAGGCAGAGGCAAGCAGATCTGAGTTCAAGGCCAGGCGGTATAGATCAGGTTCCAGGCAAAGAGAAGCTTTTGTGTTCAGGTGTGGGGCACGCCTATAATCCCAGAAAACAAGAGACAGACATGCAGATCTCTGAGCGCTGGCGAAGTAGAGCAATACGGCTAACAATGTTTATTTTTAAAGCCTGCAAATATGACAGCAGTGTTATCTGACCTGCCATCATCACCAATAAAAGACACCTGTTTTATTTTAACTAAGCCTCACGTCATCCAGGGCAGGGCAGCTAGGAACCTCCTGAACTACCCTTTATCTCCCGGTCTCAGATCCCATGTCAACTGTCCGGGTTGCTTTCCATCCATAAGCCATAAGTACTTGTACATGCTTCTCATCTGGGCTGCTCTCCTTCATCCCTGCCAATCCGGCCGTGGGCTTCTCTCCCAGCTACCCCTTGGCGGCTTCCAATTCTGTCCTCAAAGCCCGCCCTCGGGCTTTGGCCACGCCCACCTCACGCTGCCCTGCCCAGGTGTGTATTTATTCAGCCACTGGGGATAACTTGGAGGCAAGGTTACAAACATCATTTTGGGGTACGTGAGTGTCTGCTCATAAAAGACTGCAAGCAGACCTCAGGGAGCAAAATATTAACAAGCAAATACAAAGCACCAGACCGTGCCGTTACAGCATGCTAGTCAGTTCTGTTCAGGAGTGCAGCTGAGTCAGTGAGCTGAGAGGCGCTGCAGTGGAGCTGAGTTCCTGGCAGTTCAGTTCGTGGAAGCCAGAGGCGGTTTTACTGGGAGAGTTTTACAGAGAGAGGCTGAAGAGAGAACGAGCCAGAGGAGGAGAAGGAGCCAGATGATTAAAACAGATTGCTAGAGTTAGTTTGAGGCCAAGCAGAGCAATTCAGTCAGAGGCTGAGAGAGGAGCCAGCTTGAATCAGTCAGCTGAGAGAGGAATTTGAGCCAGAACAGCTGAGTTGAACCAGCCAGCCAGAAGGAAAGAGCTAGAAAGGTTGAACTTATTCAGCAGTAAATCTCAATGCTGAAAACATTGTAGGCCTAGGTTAGATTGCATGGTCATTTTGTGGAAGGGCTCGCTGCAGTACCGAAGAAGAGGTGACAGGCCAGCCCCACCGGTCTTTCCTGTGTATTTGATTGACTGACGTCTCATCTCCAGAGGAAATGCGGTTCCACGCAGGCATTCAGAGGTCGTCAGGTCACACCCATTTCAAAAGGCCTGTCTTTGTACCCTTCCCAGCACCTCCCAGTTCTGACAGTCTGATCTTGTTCTTCCGCTCTGGCCCCATCGCATGGATGGATGTCCCTTCTGGGTGTGTCCTGGTTCAGGTCCTGTTGGCCTTCAGAGACACCCTGTTTGCTCTTGGCAAGCTCCTATGACACGAGACTAGTGTGAAGTGGACATTTCTGTAAACACGGATTCTAGTCCCTGAGGCACTTAGGTGACACCTAGGGGCTGGCTTAGACCTTAGCTTTAAAAGAATTCCTGTCTTGGAAATACAGCGTTTGCTTATCATTTGCACGCCATCACCTTACCACATGAAGCATTTTATTGGTTTACTCTGTTAGTGTTGAGGGATATAATCGGGGCCATTTTCATTTCAATTTACACATCAACCATGTTGGGTTTCAAGGTTTTCTATTGCGTCTTGGGGACTTTGGGGACTTTCATTTCAGTCCATCTTCCTCGGCCTGGAAGAGTTGACCCGTCCTGGCAGCCCTCAGGCAGGACTCGGTGACCTTTTTCATGAGTTGTCTTTAATGGGTGCTCTCAAATCGATCTGGGCACTCACAAATGCCATCGGACACAAGCAACTGGGTGCTGGCTGAGGCTGGGGGCCGTGGTGGGCTTTAAGCTCTGACACTGGGCCAGCCACACCCTAACCAGTTAGTCCTGACAACCCAAGCCACACAGAACCCCACCTGGTCACCTGTTCCAGAGGGCACAGATGAAAAACCTCCTAGAGCAAATTTGTGCTAGATTTAAACAACATGCAGTCCTGTGACTTCTGAAGAATGTGGGAGAAAACGAGAGGGTACAGTATCCCGAAACATCTGAAGAGCATGGGTGACAAGGATCCGAGGGAGATGAGGGGTGACCCTGCCTCTGGCTGCTCTGGGCAAAAGTTTGTTCTCTCTCCCAGCGCTGTAGTCCTCACTCAAAGCACCTGCCTCGGCCCTTAGCACCAACCTCAGTGTTTCTTTAATTCCAGCTCAGCTGACACCCCCGTCCCTGGACTTCTTCCTCCTCTTCTTCCTCCGCCTTGCCCTCTCCCCATGCCCTGAGGTGCTGTGCTGGTCATTCACCATCAGCTGTTTGCATGTAGCCCGTCCACAAGAGACTGCTGAACAGAGGGCGGGATGCTCCCGAGCTCACTGAATCCAAAACCGCCTTCTAGGTCAGCAGGTGCAAGTGGCCATCACGGGTCCACCCTTGGCACATGCATGCTTCTCGTTAGACCACATTAATCTCCAACTAAAGACAAAACTGAAGTCGTTCTTGTACCCAACATTGCAAAGCACGAACCTTCAGGCAGGTGGAAACCCATTCTTCCTGCAGAAGACTATACTGAGTCCTTTGCTTAAATACCCTGCCAAAAAGTTAATTCGCAATTTAAGATTCAGTTATTTCAGTTTTTATGTGTCTGCGTGTATGTACTGTGTGAGTACGCCTTGCTGCCTGCTGCCTCCAAGGCCAGAAGGCGGCCCTGGGTCCTCTCGAGCTGGAGTTAGCTCCCATGTGGATCCGGGAACTAGACCAGTCCCTCTTCAGGGACAGTGGAGCCCTGAACTGAGCTGACCCTCTAGCCTCTAAAATCAACATGTTTCATGTGATGGTCTTTGCCAAGGAACCCTGTCTGAGGAGCCCCGGCCCCGCCCCTCCCTGCCCGCTCCGCGTGCCGTCATGTGTATCGTGTGGCAGCAGCCTGTTCTTTGGGGCTCTGATGCTTCTTTACTGCAGCGCTCCTAGACTCCACTCTAAAAATGAGGGTTTGATGAGGCCAGGACTCACGATCTACTAGGCCTAAGCGCTAAACTCTGTGACTGCAAGAATCCCTGAGCTTCCCATGCTAAGAACCCAAGTTCTCTTGGGGCTAAAGAGATGGCTCAGCGTTTCGGAGCATGGCTGCTTTTTCAGAGGACCCAGGTTTAGCACCAACATGGCTGTTTACAACCATCCTTCACTGTGTTTGGATGAGAATGGCCCCCATGGGGAGTAGGTCTGTTTGAAAGAATTAGAAGGATTAGTTGTGGCCTTATCAGAGGAAGTGAAACTAGGGGTGGGCTTTGAGGTTTCAAAAGCCAAGCTGGACCCAGTCTCTCTCTCCCTCCCTCCCTCTCTCTCTGCCTGTGCATCAGGATGTACTGCTCAGCTGCTGCCCCAGCCCTCGCCTGCAGGCTGCCATGCTCCTGCCATGAAGATAATGGGGCAAATCTCTGAATCCGTAAGCAAGCACCCAGGTAAGCACTTCCTAAGAGCTGCTGTGCCATGGTGTCTGCACAGCAGCGAGCAGTGACTAAGGGGTAGCTCTAGTCCAGGGATGCAGCATGACTCTGGGCACTGAACACCTGTGGCGCACAGACATGGGTGCAGGCAAAGGACTCAGGCACATAAAATAAACACAAATGAGTCTTTAAAAATTCCAAGTACTGCAAACTGTTGTTGGGCTGTGACTGAGGTCTTTGCATGCAAATGAATGCGTCCAAGTCAGTCATTTGTTCCTTCCTGAGGGTGCACGCTCTCTCCCTGTCTGCCATCTTAGTTCTTCTGTTTAGGGAACAGTTGGGGTGTGGACTTAGCTGATGGTGGATGGCAAGTTCAGAATTGGAGATGTCTGACTTTGCAAGGTTTTACTGTTTTTAATGATGTTTTGTTCTCCAGCCTAATTAATTACATGGTCTCATTCCAAGTATAGCTAGATATGAGCTCTTAAATGAAAACACACTTTGTTGAAGGCAAAAGAAATGGGCCCAGCTTTCCTATAGTCAAAAGAGCAAAGACCCTCATTATCTAGCTGAAAGGTAAAGGGACATTCTGGCCCACCGAGGAGCTGTGGATGTTGTCTCGTGTTCACTGGTGGATTTCTGAGCAGGGGCTCAGGACGAAAGCACCTCAGGGTCAGGAAGCAGACGGGAAAACTGAAGAGGCTCCACAGGTCTCTGCAGTAGCCAGAGGGTCGGGAGCAGAGGTGGGCTGCAGGCCTGTCTCTACTATCAAATAGCACAGAAATAGACTGTGCTTTCACACAGACACCGGGGTTTTTGTTTTTCCTGATAAAGCCAGGAAAATGGCATCAAGATTTATTACAAACCAGTAATGCGTCATTTGTCAGTAACATGTGAGGCGTGTTTGTATTTGTAACTATGTAAATGTTTGATCGCTGCACCTGTTTTATATACCAACATTCACAGAGTCATGTAAAAAATTCTTATTTGGAAGGGAGTTTTAAGTGGATAACAGCTTAAGAAGCTGTTAAGAAGGGCTGGAGAGATGATGAGAGATGATGGCTCAGTGGGCAGAGTGTTTGCTTCTTATACATGAGGACCCAAGTTTGAATCCCAGGAGCCCACATGAGAGCCTGGTACAATGTGTAAGTAACCTCAGGGTTTCTGTCTGCTCCTGCAGTGAGATGGAGCCAGCGACATGAGAGCTTCTGGGAGCTCTTGGGCCCGCTAGATTTCTGTACAGCAACAAAAAGTATCAGATGCCCAGTTTCAAACAAGGTGGCAAGGAGCATCCCTCAAGATTCTCTTCTGACCTCCACACTGGCACATGCTTCCTTCTCCTGCCCTCTTAAATACCCCCCACACACACACGAGAGACTTTTTTTTTTTTAAATGAAAGACCTGCAAAGCATTCAGTATAACCAAATGACAAGAGTATTCAGAGAGCAAAATAAAATTAGGAAAACAATACACGGACAAAGTGAAAAGTTTAGCAAATAAGTCGAAGCCATAAACTGTTCTACCTGGGAGCCAAAGGGCACGCTGACAGAACTTAAAATTCAGTAGTGGGCTTCAATATCAGACTTGATAAAAACCAACCAAACATTCAAATTATCTAGTTAGAGGAGGGAAAAGAATGAAAGAAGCCCAAAGGAGATTTTAGTGCTGCAACAGTGTATGAGCCGCTGTCCAGCTCTGATCAACAAGTTAAAATACAAGCATGTAAAAAATAACTAGTTCTAGAAATGTTATTGAATATGTAGCAAAGAGCAGTATAAATTGAAAGAGGAGAAGTAGGTAGCGGTTTTACAGATATTACCAAAGTTAATTTGCTTGAAGCACAAAGTGTAGTACATGCCTTTAAAAATGTGTCAGTTTCTGTGTATATGTGCACATGGGTGCAGTGCTCAAGGAGGCCAGAAGAGGGCGACAGATCCACCGGAGCTGGAGTTGCAGGTGGTTATGAGCCAGCCAACATGGGTGCTGGGAACTGAACCCTTGCCCTTCAGAAGAGCAACCAGTGTTCTTAGTCTCTGAGTCCCACCCCAGCCCTGTGGGTATTTTATGGCTAGCCATATCAAGTTGACAAAGTTCCCTTTTATATCTTCTTTGCCAAGTGTGTGTGTGTGTGTGTGTGTGTGTGTGTGTGTTTATTATAAAAATTCACTGGTTTTACCAATGCAGAGGACAGTGCTTTTCTGTATCTATTAGAAACTGTGGTCTTTGTTCATTACTGTTAAATTTTCATGTGTGATAGGTTATGCCAACTGTCAACCTGACAGGACCCGGAGTCCCCAGGAGAGGAGCTCCGGGTATGCCTGTGGAGAATTACCTAGATTAGGTTGGTCTGTGGGCATGCCTGTGAGGGGTTTTCTTGGTTGTGTTAGCTGAGACAGGAAGACCCATTCTAAACGTAGTGTGTGCCAGGTCCTGGGCTGAGTCCTGGGCTGAATAAAAAGGAGAAAGTGAGCTGAGCCCCAGCGTTCATCTCTCAGCCTTCTGGCTGTGGGTACAGTGTGACCGGCTGTTACAAGCCCCTGCCGCTCGTCAGTCTCCACCATGATGGACTGTATCTTCGAACTGTGAGACGACCCCTCCCACTTAGACTGCTTCTGTGAGGGCCTTCATCACAGCTGCAGGAAAAGCACCTCAGGCAACATTTGCCTTGTGTTCTAGCATAAATCTTGTCACGTTACCGGGGCTGACTGACATGGGTCAAGGGTGTTGGTTTCGCTGTGTTGTTGGGCACCATCTCTGCGTGATTTGGGTATCTGGTGGTGCTTGCCCTTTAAACAAGCTGAGACTCATCTCTCTTCTGTTCATGGAAGACTGATGTCCCTTCTTTTCCTCTGTGTGGAATATTCCTCAGGGAAGGGACCAGCCCTCTGCTATCCTTCACGGAAACATCTTGTTGTTACAGATTCAGTCTCCTTAATTTTCCTGAGTCAGTTTTGCCAGTGTCTTCCTCAGAATTTTTCTATTTTATCTAGGCCATCTATGATCTAGGCCATTTGTTGATGTTTTAATTGTTCATACTACTTCTTTTTAATGTCTTCTGTTTCTCTAAGGTATATCGATGCCTTCTTTTTCATACCTTAATGAGCTGAACATCCCTTTTTTATAGTTGGTGTCACTAAAGGTCTGTTTTCAAAGAGCAAGCTTTAGGTTTTGTGGACCTTTCTCTACTTTTAGTATTAGTTGCTGTTGCTGTGATAAAACCATGCCCAAAAGCAACTTATAGAAGAACGTGTGTTCTGATTTACAGTTTCAGAGGGAGAGTCCATCGTGGTGGGGAGGTATGGAAACAGGAAGAGGAAGCTGAGGGATCATGTCTCTCCCACAAACATGGAGCGGAGAGAGTGGCATACCCACCCCCAGCCAGGTCCCCTCCTGACCTTCCCAAACAGTGCGTGAGCTGGGGACCAAGTGTTTAAATGCCTGAGCTTCTTTCTCATTTCTCCTTCAAAGCCCCACGATTTTTATTTCTGCCTTGGCCTTGTTATTTCTTTCTGCTTAGTGGGAAGGCTGTGCTCTTTTTCAGTTCACCCAAGTGGAGGAATGTTTTTATGGAAGGCTTTGGTTCTTTGCGCATGTTTATAATGAAGTCCCTTCCCTCCCCTGTCCTGTACCCTTCCTTTCCTCCCTTGTGCTTTGTGAGGGAGAAGTGAGCAAAAGGAACAAAACCAAAATGTTGTGCAGGAGTGGAGTGGCCATCAGCCTCACACCCTTTCACTCAGGGGCCACATCAGCGCCCTGAGGGGAGCCAGCTTGGGTGAGACACGATTCAGTCCACTACTGACAGTCCTGTGTGCTCCGAGAATGGACACGTGGATGAGCCTGTCCATGATAGGGAGAGGACAGAAAGAGGCGCAGTGGCTTCAAACCGGCCACAGTGAAAACCCATCTCTAACCATCTGTGAGCTTTTATTCTTCTCCTGGCCAAGTTCTCTCCTCCCTCTCCCTCCCTCCCTCCCTCCCTCCTTTCTCCTTCCTTCCTCCCTCTTTCTCTCCCTCCTTCCTTTTTCCCTCCTTTCCTCCCTCCTCTCTCTCTCCATCTCTTCCTCCTCCCTCCATCTGTCCTCCTTTTCTCCCTCCTCTCTCCGTTTTTCCCTTCTTCTCTTTCTCCTCCCTCCTTCTCTCTCCTTCCTCCCTCCTTCTTTCCCTCTCCCTCCTCCCTCCTTTTTTCCTCCTCCTTCCCTCCTCTCCCTCCTTCTCTCCATCCTTCCTCCTTCTCCTTCTCCTCCCTCCACCAAAGCGAGTCACTGTAGTGGGAAAGGTCTACCTGTCAGTCCTTCTGAGGGAGCAGGATGTTCTGCTCTATTTCTAGCCAGCAAGAAGAGTGCCTCAGTGTTTACCTCATCACTTTAGGACATTGGGTTCTCTAGCTTAATCATGTTTTCTTTGCATATATGGTATACCACATATACCCACACACTCACACACATAAACCCACACACTTATACACAATCACACACATGTGTAGATTCCTCCAGAAGTACTACCTTTCTTTTGGTCTTGTCTTTACCTTCAAAGCTGTGGGCCAGGGCTTTGTGCATATCAGGGTCGCCTCCACCAACTGCTCCACCCCAGCACCTACTGGCTCTGACTTTGAAGTCATTAGCCTGTGGTGACAGTGGTAATGGTAATGATGGTGGTGGTGGTGGTGATGACGATGGTGACGGTGACGGTGGTGACATTAGTGATGGTGGTGGTGATGTTTTGTGCTGGTATGTGCCCTCGCAGGCCGCAGGAAGGAGACCTGCAGTTACAGAAAGTTGTGCGCCCGTGTGTGGGTGTTAGGAATCAAGTGCCGGTTCTCTGCAGGAGCAGCGGGGCTGCTGACCACCGAGCCTCTGCAGTCCCGCCAAAGCTGAAGAGCACCTGACTTCTGATAATCCATTCCAAAGCCCAGACACGTCAGCTCAGCGGGCTCGTGGAGGTGACCAGGGCATGTTAGCAGTGCTGTCGCTTGGGGCTGCCTGCCAATTAGCCCTGAAAAACAGGTGCTGTTGAGAAAACCGCCCAGCAGTCACACGTCCAGGGTCAAACGAGCTCAAGCTGCTGTTGCGGCTTCGGACGGCTTAGAGCTGATTTTCTTGTAAGCCTGTGTGGCCCAGGAGGACGGCAGAGCGTGGCGCTTGGCTCAGAGCTACCAAAGAGTGCTCCTCTGTCACAGCTGCTCATGGGAACGGTGACTCGGCAAATAGGCTTTGGGTGGTGGCGCTGTGGTTAAGGGCTGAGGTGGTGTTGATTTTCCCATTACTAGCTTTAGGATGTCTGTGGATGCAGCTTGGCTGGGGGCCAGAGGCAGGTGGCCGCAGCCCCCGAGGGGACAGGAATGCCTGCACAGCTGTGAGTGCCCCTGGGCATGCACCTCTTCTCCCAGGTGCCCTTGCTCATCTTCCGAGACAATCCGTGTGCCCGGGGACTCGGGAGCGGCATCCTCCCTCGGCTCCGTCGTGCTAGCTGGTTCATCGCACATGGAACTGTGTTTGTTGTCAAAGGGGAAGAGCTGGTGCCTTCTCAGCAAGCGCACTCTGGATGCTGCCCAGGCCATTTAGAGCCATGTGGTCCTGTGGTCACTCCATTTTAGCCGTGGTCAGATCCATGCTGCCGTATCTGGCCAGCTGGATATCTCAGCATCTCATTTCCCATCGTAAGTGATGTCACGGGGACAGGAAGGTCTCCATCCGGGAAGGTCCACCACGGGGACTAATGGGGTAGTGTGCGCGCACTCACGTGTTTGTGTGGTGGGTGTATGGTATCTCCGTGCATCCATGTGCAAGTGTGTATACTTTTGCACACGTGTGGGAGCCAGAGGAGGGTGTTGAGTGTGTCCTGCTGTGTCGTTTTTAACCTTGTTCCTTCGTGAACACAGAGCAAGGTTGGGGTCAGCAAACCTGGCAATCCTCCTGTCTCTGCCCCCTAGGGAGGAGGTTACAGGTGTGTGGTGGCCGTGCTCAGCTCTCCCACCCGCCAGGTGTCTTTCTAGTTCATGTGAGTGTTTTGCCCGTGTGTGCCAGGTTCCCACAGAGGCCAGGAGAAAGCATTAGCTCGGTTAGGACTGGAATTATGTCTGATCGTGAGCCACCCGTGGGGGCTGGGAGCTGAACCTGAGTTCTCCGCAAGGGCAGCCAGTGCTTCTGGCCACTGAGCCACTCTCCGGCGCCTGCCTGGCCTTTCTCATGGCCTCTGTGGACCTGAGCTCAGGTCTTTGCTCTCGGCCAGCCAGTGCCCTCCCCCACAGAACCGTCTCCAGCCCTTCAACAGCGCGGCCCCTGTCGCAGGGCTCCTCCTGCTGACGGTACACTGAAGGCGGTGGCCGGCCACATCGCTTAGGGACAAGACTTGGCCAGCCCCGGCCTCTCCTGACCTCAGGCCACCAGGTCAGCCTCCTGCCTTAGCGTGGCTCCCTCAGGTTGCATTAGTGGAGGGAAGTGCTCTAGAGCTCAGCATTTCTGCTCTGCTTTGTGGTGAAATCTCAGGATTAGTCTGCATTATGCCCTCACGAGGTCTAAAATCGGTTAACGAGAGACTTAAGGACTAAAGTCAGCCTGTTTTCTCTGTTCATTGTTATTGTTTGGAAATGAAAGGACACATAGCTTAAATAGCAACCAGATAATGGAGTGCTCCTGTGTGATTAACGCCAGCAATAAGGAGTCTGAGGCAGGAGGATTGCTGTGAGTTTAAGACAGTCTGGGCTGCCTAGTGGATTGAAGGTCAGCCAGAGCTACATAGCAAGACCGTGTTTTAAAACAAATACCAAACAGCCATGGAGTTGGGAGGGATGGTTCAGTGGCTAAGAACACTGGCTTCTCTTCCAGAGGGCATGAGGTCAGTTACCAGCACCCACATGGCAGTTCACAGCCATTTGTGAGCCTAGTTCCAGGTGACCCAACACCCCCACAACAGACCCGATTCTGACTCTGAGGACACCTGCAGAATGTGGGATACACACGAGCGCGCGTGCACACACACACACACACACACACACACACACACACACACACCTGTAATGGGATCTGCTGTTCCTAGTATTCCTAGTTTACACATATTAAAGAGGTGGAAGGGACTTAGGCCCTTGCGTGTTAAAGCCGAGGTTCACGCTGCCCTCTCTTGTTAGAGAACGTGTGTGGAGGGCCACAACCCTGAGGCAGAGGACAGCCAGGTCTCCTGTCTCTCCTTAGTCAGGGCAAGTGAGCGCCAGCCTTGCTTTGTCGTCTGTGGGTGAGGTAGTCTGCCCATAGGCCGTGGTGGGCATCATAACTGTTTAAATAGATGTGTGGAAAACTAAAGCTCGTGGCACAGCATCTGTTTAGTCGTTCAGTGGGAACTTTGTTAGAGACGTTTCTCTATAATAATCCCAGTGTGGTCGGTTTTTTATTAAAATCCTTTAAAAGTTTGAGATAGCTTGCTATGATACATGTAGATGATTTTTGTTTAGTTTGAGGCTTGTGTTCATTCATTCATTCATTTTTTAGATAGGGTTTCATGCAGCTTAAACTTGCCTTGAATTCCTTATATAACTCAGACCAAAAACAAAAAGAAAAAATAGAATAGGCAAAAAATAGATTTTTTTTTTTTTAAAAAAAGAAAGTTAAATGACCTTGAACTTCTGACCCTCCTGCTGCCACCTCTGGAGAGTGGACACCGCCACCCTCTACCTCACGCAGTGCTGGGGCTGAGCTCAGGGCACAGTGCATGCTAGGCGAGGGCGCTACAGCCAAGCCACACACCAGCGCCCGTGCTACCTTACATTATCATAGAAGATACTGCACACAAAACAAAGTGCTGGCCCCTCTGCAGCCTTATCCATCAGCTCCGGATTTCCAGTGTAGTAAACACAGGATATTGCTTGGTTAAAGAAAATATTATAATTTATTTGGTGATGAAGTAGGGTGCCTACTTCAAAACCTAGAAATTAAGAATTCTTGACTATTGATTTTTAGTGCTTTGTGGAAATTTGTGTTTTAATGAAAAGGAAAAATTATCTGTTGTAGTTGAGTTGGTTTCCTTCCTCCCTCCCTCCCTCCTTCCTTCCTTCCTTCCTTCCTTCCTTCCTTCCTTCCTCCCTCCCTCCCTCCCTCCCTCTCTCTCTCTCCCTCCCTTCCTTCCTTCTTCTTCCTCCCTTCCTTCTTCTTTCCTTCATCTGTCCCTCTTTCCCTCCCTCTTTTCCTCTATCCCTCCCTCCTTCTTGCCTGCCTTTCTTCCTTCCTTCCTTCTTTCCTTCCTTCCTTCCTTCCTTCCTTCCTTCCTTCCCTCCCTCCCTCCCTCCTTCCCTCCCTCCCTCCCTCCTTCCTTACTCCTTCTCACAGTATAGTTCAAGATCACCTCTTGATCTTCCTGCCTCCAGCTCCTGATGTCTGGGGTCCCAGCTGTACAGCACAGAGCTTGACAGACATATCTCTGTCTTCACTGCAGAGCTGAGAGCATGAAGCCACAGGCACTCAGTTTCCCTCGTCCCTGTGTCTGGCCCGGGCTGTCTAGAAGGATCCCCTGTGCATTCAGAGGAGCATACTGCCTTTGCATGCTCCTCTGTGGAAAACCTGTATTTATTGCTGACTGAGTGAGGGTGGATTCTAGCCAGGCTGAGCTGAGTCTTGTCCTGAGTCTGTGGTCTCTCCTTTCTCTTCACAGACCTAGTTCTGCTGTCGGAGTTTACCTGTGATCATGGGGAGGAAGCTGGACCTGTCCGGTCTCACGGACGATGAGACGGAGCATGTCCTCCAGGTGGTCCAGAGAGACTTCACTCTCCGCAAAAAGGAGGAGGAGCGACTCAGGTGAGGCGGCAGGTCTCTGCGTCATGGCCACCCGTCCTTTGTTGAAGGGCTTCCCATAGCTGGGGACATGTGTGTCAGCAGGTACTTGGCCCACGTATGATAACCTGCCTCTGGTGCTGAGCTGAAGCCTCTGCGGAGCCCCGGACAGGTAGAGCTTGGGTGGTCTCTGTGTTGCCGGCGTCTCTGTGTGGGGGAGACGTTTAGAAATAATGAATAGAAGTAACTGTCATAGGACACATTGTTTCAGTCTCTGGCTGCTCCTTTAGTGGGCGTAAGACTCACCCGGCAAGTTTCCTTCAGTCTTTAGGCTACCTCATCCTCCTTCCTCCCAGCCTGCTGTGCTTTGGCAGGTTCTGGAGGTCGGATCTCAGGCACGGAGGTGATGGCCTGGTCCCCAGCGCTGATGGGAGTGAGGATCGTGAGAGCGGGAAGCGGGTCTTGGCACTCTAATGTGGAGATGTAATGAGGGGTGAGAAAGCCCCGGGAAGAGATTCGGAGGAGAAGGCAGCCATCCAGCTGCTGCGGGCGTGCAGAAGAGGGGTTTTCCGGGGACTCACATTTTGAGGCTGGAGGGCATGGCGGCAGGAGCGTGGGGAAGTCTCTCTGCTCCCACCGCCAGGAACCGGAAAGAGGAGGGCCGGCTTCACCAGGCTTCCCTGCCCCTTTAGTTCTCTTTATTCACCCTGAGCACCTAGTCCATAGCCGGATGGGGCTTTCCTTCTCCATCACACGTCTCAGAAAACACCCTCACAGACACACCTGAGGTGTAGCTCCTAGGTGATGACGTGGACATTTAACCACTGAAGATGATGTCATGCCGGCAGTGAAAATAAAATGACGAAAATCTTCCAACACAAAGCACAAGCGCCCTGCGCCATGTTGAGGGTCCCTTGAGTTTTCCTGGTGAGCTCTTCACATTGAAGGTCCCTTGAGTTCTGGTGAGTTCTTCACATTGAAGGTCCCTTGAGTTCTGGTGAGTTCTTCACATTGAGGGTCCCTTGAGTTCTGGTGAGCCCTTCACATTGAGGATCACCTTGAGTTCT